ATTATACTCGAATAAAGCGAATACGAATCCTACAACGTTTTTACTTTTGTCACAAAGAATGAAATGTTATATTGATACCAAGCTGTACTATGTTCCTTAGCTTTACAGTGATAGTAAAGAGATTTTATAAACTTTGCAAGTTTATCAGGGACATCTTCACAATGTCAAGCTATTACGAACAGCATCAAATGCTTGACAACATTAAGCACTTTCCATGCATCACTGAAGTAAATGTAGCGATTTGATTGGACAGTTCACCACCGAATATAGCCAATCAGAGATTTAGACAGAAAGTCTGTATACCATAAACCATTATTTTTTTGTCAAGGTCTCTGATTGGCTGTATTTGCTAGCATACAATCCAATCCAATCGCTAAATTCAAGAAGAGTGGCTAATGATGTCAAGTTATCAGACGCAGTTTGTAATAGATTGTGAAGATGTAAAAGCATTGATGGTTTATGGTGTATACTATCTAATGCTATTCATCCACAGAGGCCATGAATTGATAAATTTTAGGATTCGCATTCGAGTGGTTATAAGTTAACTGATTCGCATATATTCGTAGTTAGTTCTTACAATTCTTGAGTTATCAGGAATTCGTGTCAAAAGTTTTGAGCTGTTCAATGTTTTTGCCACAAACTCCCGATAAAAAATGTCTTAGTTAATTAGTAACAAAATCGTAATGCATTCACAGGCATCGTAATCCATTCGTAAACATTCTGAATTATTCTTAACTCATTCGTTGATTCGAATTCAATAACAGTCCGAATTATCAAGAGCAGTCAAAAATTCATTTTTATTCGTACGTAATTTCATACATGTATTCGTGAACCTATCGTACTTGTAGCGTAACTAGATCGTATATAGAATTGAACCAGAATATGTGCTAAAATTCTACAAAACCTCACGAATTCTAAAATATACAAATCTTGCTTAAGTCTCTAAAAGTCAAGTTTGACATTAATGTAGTATTATTCTATTTCTACAGACTGAGACATTCTAATTTTATATAATTATTAATTTATGTCGGGTTGATTACATTATCTTCCATAAAATACATACATTTTATATTAACACTACAGCAAATAGAATAGAGCGAATAATAATTCAATATGACAGGTTCGCTATCCCACAATACTTCATTGTTAGCAAGAGACGGGTCCTACATTACATGATTGGTTAAAAAATAATGTCATTAAAACGGGATTGCAGGGTCGTAACTACATCAATGCAAATGAGACAAATGCCTCATGCAGAATTTGACAAGAAAAGATTTTAAATAAATTAGAAATATAAACATATCTGCTGAATATATCACCTATTTAAGGTAAAGTGGTTAATTTTTGAAGACTACCGGAAGCGTTGCGATGAAAGACATAACTGTCTTTAAGGACAACATGATTTTTGCCTCATGAATGTAGAGGCAAACTTTTCAGATTACAATTAAAAAAGTAGATTTTGGAAAAACAGAAATAAAGGCTCAAATACGACATATTTCACTTATTATTCTGAATAAAAAAACTTGTAATTTTTACCTGGGTGATAATTAACAGATGAATTCCTGTTATTTGTAATCTATAGAAATAGGTAAAGAAATTCCTAGTTTGAGATAGTTTTGAAGGAATTATGCTATTTTAGTAAATTTCTAGCACTACTGATGACTATTTACATATATTCAATCCTCAAAAATGGCGAATCTGTCCCTTTAAATGACTCATATCATCAGATGTTGAGATATGTATACTGTTATATCATTGTCGATTGTAAGTGATTAGAGATATTATTATGTATAGAGTTTGAGATTTCCAGCTGTTGGTGTGAAACTATGGTAATATATAATATCAATATGTATATCTTATTGACAACAGGCATGGAGTCTTTTAAAGGGACAGTTTCGCCATTTTTTCGACCAATCGTAGGCCTACCTTAGTCTCAGTCTCGGGAAAAATTTAGCTACGTCAATTAGTAATAGTAGTGATCACAGCTCACAGTTTTTTGAGACACTGTCATATATAGAAATGAAAAAGAAATTCCTAGTTTGAGATATTTTTGAAGGAATTATGCGATTTTCGTACATTTCTAGTACTTCTGACTGAAATCAACCCCCCTCTTTAAAGGACTACTTCATATTAAAATTGACATGAAATTTAAAATCTCAAACTTGGTCAATAAGAGTATATGTTCATCATGAACTTACCAGGTGCCATAACTAAAGAATAGAGTGTTTATATAAGACGAAATATCCTAATAAATAAGTAATTATTTAAAAACGCTTCTAAGCATGTTTCAATAATTACTTAGTTTTATAATGATTACTTAGTTTTATAATGATTATTTTGATTAAAGAGGGATTCTGTTTTAGTTATGAAACCATTAAGTCCACTGATTAACAAAGACTCATTTTGGCCAAGTTTAAAAATTTCATTTATTTGGGCCTCTTGGGGTAGTATATATCTTTAAAGGGATTTTGAACATTTTTTTCTTAATTTTCCAAACATTCTAAAGCTTAATGGTTTCTATTTGTATCATTCTAATTTTTATTGAAATGCTGGTTCGTATAAGACTGTTTATTGTTTTCATGTTTTCAAGAGAAGTGGAACTATAAAAGAAAGATGATTGTCGTGAGATTAAATCAAACTATCAAAAAACAAAACTGATTAAAAATACAACACTTAACGTATTTCAACACGCTAACCACTTTTTATACTCCCAATCCTTTAAAGGGGCAGTATGCAAAGTTTTCATTAGGTAAAATTTAAAGATTTCTAAAATATGCCATTAACTTCTATGTACGTTATGAAACTGAAACTGTTTAAAAGATGACGTGGATCTTGAATATATGTAAATAGTCTTCAGAAGTACTAGAAAAGTACGAAAATCCATAATTCCTTTAAAAATTTCTCAAACTAGGAATTTTACAGCTCAATACTTTTACTTTAAACCTAAGGGAAATATTTCTCTACAATATGGCGTTTATTTTTCTTTAAATTAGTTTTCCAATAAAAAAGAAAAAGCGACTGTTTACGTAGTTTTAAAAAGTTAACGGCAAGATTTAGTTAAAACTTTGGTAAAGTAAGAAACACAGCCATGTTGATTTTTGTTCGAGACTACCCTTTTAAAGGGACAAATGTAATGTGTACGGGGCTTGAGTGCTGTGTAAAAAAACCATTAGATATTTAAAGCGTACAAGAGTGTAGTGCAGATAGCCTAATGGGCCTGAATGTGTTTCACATTTCATTACAAACGTAAGAAAAAGATGTAATTTAAGTATTAGGTTATAGTGAAAATATAACGGCTTGGAAAAGCATTAAGGTTGATGCGGAAGAGAAAAAGTGTGTTATTTTGTAATGGATAAACGGATCAAAAGGAATTGGCTTTTCTCACTAAATCCATCACCTTAGCTTATAAAGTAAAGACAGACACGCCAAGAATCTAGTTCACTGTTCTACGATTCTTGTGATTTTATCTGTTATCAGACAACAACCTAGGACATATTCCATGACGGTAAATAACACACACTTGGGATTTGTTTATCAACAAGTTAATAAGCGGTGACCGTTTGTATTGACTGCACGTCGTAGGCGTCAGTTAGTGTATAAATAATAAGGAATGAAAGAAACAACCGTTCAACGTAGGTTTAGAAAGATCCTGTCTGTCCTTGACCAAAACTCTTGGAATTGATCTTTCCCAGATTATCTGTACCCATTTACAGCTGGGTAGAAAGTGTTCAACAGTGCCGTGTTTTTGTGAGTTGTTTGAAACCTGTGTTAAACTAGACACTAATACTTTACAGTTTGGGTTCATATGTTTTTATATCGAAAGTAAGATTGGATTTTAAAGGAATTATTATGTATTTTCACGAAACTTTCTTTCTGATGTTATGAGGATTTTCCGGATTTTTTTTGTCCCCGTTTATTCTTACAATGTTCTGTCACAGATGTTTTCAAATGACTTTATTGTTAACCAATCAAAGTGTTACATGTAAAACCCGTTTCTTGCTAACATTAAGGATTTGTGGGATAGCGAAACCTAAAGTAGAGCATTTATGGCCGATATCTCATAAATCATAATCGTTGTTATGAAACTTATCCTACGCTTTGATTGGTGAAAAATGGCGTCATTAGAACGCAACTATCGTAAAAAATGGTAGATTACAATGGAGAAGAAATTACCAGAATAGATTAAACGAAATCGTAATCTAATTTTAATTGACTATCATTTTCCTACATGTTTTTTTTTTCATTTGTAGAATGAAATTTCTTTTCTTTTCAGGTAACGTGATTAATTTCTATTCTTCTGATTTTCATGGCGAATTTTCTAATGACTTTTAATCCTGAAAACACGGAAGTTTAATGGCTTAAGTTTCATAGTAAACAAAATTTTATTTGATTTTTAAAACAGTCAGGCATCAAAGCTGTACTGAAGTAAAATTCAGGTACCAAAGCTTATTTGAACCGTAGAAAGTGAATATCAAAGATTAATTGTACCGACGGAAGTGAATATCAAAGATTATTTGTACCGAGGGAAGTGAATATCAAAGATTAATTGTACTGCAGTGAAGTGATATATCTAAGCTTATTCCGAGGGAAATGACATGTCAAAGCTTATTTGTAGAATAGGGAAGTGAAATAAATATCAAAGCTTATTTGTACTGTAGTTCAGTGAAATATCAAAGCTTATTTGTACTGGTGCGAACTGAAATATCAAAGCTTATTCCGAGGAAAGTGAAGGGAAGTGAAATATCGAAGCTTATTCTGAGGGAAGTGAAATATCGAAGCTTATTTGTTCTGCATTGAAGTGAAATATCAAAGCTTAATTTTGAACTATTTTTTTTTACTTTTTACATGTTATTTAATTAATTTTTGGAACAAAAACTATCTTCAATTGTTGTAAGTAAATGATGATACAATGTTTCTGTTCAAATGGCGCCGTTATAATTGAGATAGTTCTTAAAGTGTAATGGAGTTTTTATGGTAACAGACACTGAGTAACAGAGAAAATGGTGGAAATAATATCAAGTCGACAAATCACTCTCTGGTTCGTGGCATTCATCACATTTATAGGTAAGCCATTTTAAAGTTTCCCCAGATAATCCCGATATTATGTTGGTGTGTCTTGCAACTGCTACTATCTCCACTTTAGCGTTGACGTGAATCATACGGGTTTGGGTGGAGCAGAGGGAGAGGTCACAAAATTGTAAGGGGAGCCCCACAAGCAATTCTGTGTAGGGTTCTTTGGGACTGTCCCCTAGTAAGAATGCTTCTATACCTCAGTCATAGTAGTTAAAACCAGAATATGATTGCGATTGATATGGTTTGGCGAAATGTACAACCCGCGTTAATACATGCCCAGAAAGTAGCAGTGTTAACCAGTTGAGAGGGCCGGGCGCCCTGCTAGTTTCTCAGTGGTCTCAGTCCGGACCGAGAACAAGTCACTTCAAGAGCACCACCTCTTCTTTACCTGAATGTGCTAATGAAGAAAGGCGACGCCATATAGTGTGTATTATGTGAGAAATTTTGCTAGGATAGTGGCAATAAGTCACTGTTTGTCGATTTACTACTATCGAGGGATCTTTATCGTGCACAAACTGGCTATAGATTTAAGACACTATTATTCTAGTTATTAAAATGGCAAATAAGGTTTTGAAATAGAATAATGATGAAATTGTCTCTATCGTGATTACAACTGTTTATATTTGATTTAACATTCAATTTGTTTGGTGTAATCCCGTATTTTATTGACCAGCTTTCTTACTCTGTAATATCAAATAGCTATTAACTTGACACGCAATTCAACATTCTTTAAGTCATCTTTTCTCATTACTCCAGTCGACCTAGCTGAATAAGTCATCTTTTATCATTACTCCAGTCGACCTAGCTGAATAAGTCATCTTGCCGCATTACTCCAGTCGACCTAGCTGAATAAGTCATCTTTTATCATTACTCCAGTCGACATAGCTGAATAAGTCATCCCACCCCATTACTCCAGTCGACCTAGCTGAATAAGTCATCTTTTCTCATTACTCCAGTCGACCTAGCTGAATAAGTCATCTTTTATCATTACTCCAGTCGACCTAGCTGAATAAGTCATCTCACCTCATTACTTCAGTGGACACAGTTGAATAAGTCATCTCACATTACTCCAGTCGACCTAGCTGGTTAAGTCATCTTTTATCATTACTCCAGTCGACCTAGCTGAATAAGTCATCTTTTATCATTACTCCAGTCGACCTAGCTGAATAAGTCATCTTTTATCATTACTCCAGTCGACCTAGATGAATAAGTCATCTCACCTCATTACTCCAGTCGACCTAGCTGAATAAGTCATCTCACCTCATTACTTCAGTGGACACAGTTGAATAAGTCATCTCACATTACTCCAGTCGACCTAGCTGGTTAAGTCATCTTTTATCATTACTCCAGTCGACCTAGCTGAATAAGTCATCTTGCCGCATTACTTCAGTCGACACAGTTGAATAAGTCATCTCACATTACTCCAGTCGACCTAGCTGAATAAGTCATCTTTTATCATTACTCCAGTCGACCTAGCTGAATAAGTCATCTTGCCGCATTACTTCAGTCGACACAGTTGAATAAGTCATCTCACATTACTCCAGTCGACCTAGCTGAATAAGTCATCTTTTATCATTACTCCAGTCGACCCAGATGAACATTTCATCTCACATTACCCCAGCCGACCCAGTTGGATAAGTCATTTCACCTCATTACTCAGTCGACCTAGCTGAATAAGTCATCTTTTATCATTACTCCAGTCGACCCAGATGAACATTTCATCTCACATTACTCCAGTCGACCCAGATGAACATTTCATCTCACATTACCCCAGCCGACCCAGTTGGATAAGTCATTTCACCTCATTACTCAGTCGACCTAGCTGAATAAGTCATCTCACCTCATTACTCCAGTCGACCTAGCTGAATAAGTCATCTTGCCGCATTACTTCAGTCGACACAGTTGAATATATCATCTCACATTACTCCAGTCGACCTAGCTGAATAAGTCATCTCACCTCATTACTCAAGTCGACCCAGTTCGATAAGTCATCTCTATTCATTACTCCAGTCAAATATGTCATTTCTCATTACTCCAGTCTACCCAGCGGAATAAGTCATCTCGCCTCATTACTCCAATCGACCCAGTTGAATAAGTCATCTTTCTTCGTTACTCCAGTCGACCTAGTTGGATAAGTCATCTCTATTCATTTCTCCAGTCGATCCAGCTGAATTTTCATTTTTTTTATCATTACCCCAGTCGACTTAGTTGAATAAGTCAGTGTTTCATTACTCCAGTCGACCTAGCTATAAAGGGGCACTGAATAAGTCATTTTTCCTCATTATTCCAGTCAGCCCAGCTGTAAATTGGTTCTTAATAAGTCATTTTTCTCATTATTCCAGTCCACCCAGCTGTAAATGGGTACTCAATAAGTAATCTGTACTCATTATTTTCAGTATACGTGCATACAATTGAAATATATTAAAGCTAATCGAACGTTATCAAGAGAGATAATCGATGACACCATGGACGAATTTTCCTCACATTCGAACTCTTTTGGACGCTGCCTACCTAAGCTCTCCAACGACGCAGAAAATTTTCCAGTTTGACAGTAATCGCGAAATGATTTTAAGTTTTGGTTATGAAGAAAACCCAGGAAATGAAAAGAATCCATTGTGTTGACAATCTAACATGAAATTTCTATTTTTCCTCATATCTAATCTTAAAAACCTGTCAAGCTTGAAATTGGATATCGATTAAAGCTAACGTGTGTAAATATTATATTTTATGACTTTTACTCTTTAAGTAGACCTAATGCATTAAGTGTGATCTTGGAGTTGAGCCATCAGATTTTTTAGGGTCAATGCTTCGTGGTACTTTGCTTTTCTTTTAACTATCAAGCTTGCAGGAACGTTCACCCCATCTTCACAATATCAAGCTTTTACTAACTTCGAAAATTACAGCAGCACTGAAGTTTTTTCTGTGTCGATAAAAGTTGATGTTTGATGTAGCGTAATTGACCCCATCCCTCATTGCTTCACTTTGGATATCGGTTTAAGACCATTCGGAAATTTCGAAATTTCCATGTGACATCAGTGGGAAGAGCCATCTGGTTTTCCGACTTAGCCCCACCTCTTACGAGCACCACCCGGAATCCTATTGATGTCTAGTGAAAAAGGCTGGATATTAATTTTATTGATTAAAGTTTCTCTAAAATTACTGTACCATCTTCAAACTGTTTACTCTTGGTCTGATGCCTTGATTACTTCATTTGAACAGATTTTACCAAATACTGATCATTTTAATTTTAATGTTGAGTTATCTTGACCTTGGTCTCTTTTAATCAAGGGGATCTACCGCAATGGATAACAAACATCCAATTAACAATGTTCATATAAACAAATGGATGCGGTTAATTCGAGAAAGATCAAGAAGTAGAAATCGTGAACCGCGGTTGTTATCCTTGTAACGAAATGGTTGTTTGCTTCTCTCTGAGTGTTATTTTACTTCAGTTAAATGGATTGTTATGATGTTTTCATGTGTATCTTGCACCATTTTCAGTCAGCAATTCCAACACAACTTACTGTTTGATGACGTCACTAATCGCGAAATATGCATTATCACATGAGGCCCTTCGCGATGGTGACGTCATCAAACACTTAATTTTAGTGGAACTGGAATTGCAAGAACCGCAGTCGTCTGATTTAAATTGGAATGGTGCAAATTAATGCTATCAGTGTCCCAGATACACAAAGAAAACATTTTATAACTATCCCTTGAATGTCAGTAACTATGAACTCCAGCAAAATGATAACAGGAAATAGCTATCAAATAAATTGGTCATAATTAGATATATTCGCGCGGTAATTTCTTCCCTTAATTGCGCTTCAATTATCATGCCTCTGTTCTACTCGTTGGCAAGGTATTGTTTCGTTTAACCATTGAACAAATTACTATAGAAATGTAATAGTCATTGTACGATTATCAGAGAATAGGTTTAATCAAAACAGTTATCGAACGCATCTTTTTTTTCTCCTTAAAGATGGGTTCCCTTATTTTTATTTATGAAAATGAAAATGCTCATACTTATATGAGTAGAAAGTAGAGGTGTTTTAATAACTAAGATACCAGTTTGTCTCACACGCCCTTAATCAATTCATAATTAGCTAAATTGGAAGAGAATTACCAGCAGAATTCCAATGAGTGACCGATAAAGAAAGGTCAAAAAGTCTTTTTTTGTTTATCCAGACTGTACATAATGGACATTTATGAATGGTTAAAACTAGTTTGCTTAATTTGACACTAAAAAATAAGGAAACCCATCTTTAAAGAAACATAGTCCGAAAAGGAAGTGAAATGAAATACTATTGGGCTAATGAAGACGGGGAAATTTTGCCATGGCAAACTCAAATGTCGAGGGATCTTTAATGAACAGCGCCCGTGACACATGGGGTTTCATTTTTTCTCATCCAAATGACATGACGCTTTTTCATGTCAGCCCCTGCGACCTGTATCTCTGACGTATTATCTCGACCTATCAGTGGCTCAACAAGAACTGTGGACTTCAGTGCATCACCCTCTGCTCTTGCAATTTTGTTCTGGGGTTGGGGCTCCTTTAGGGACTAGGACGTGGACTTGGTTCAACCAGTCCTTCTGGTAGTTGAGCCACTGCGACGTATTACGGTGTCTAACCCAATGAGCAACCGTTTTCAGAAAGCTAAATCACCACCAATGACTTATTACTTGATCTTTCAGATTAAAAACCATCAATCATATTATAGTGGACAGTATATAAAGTTTTATTGGTATTTACTGTGATTTATTACCTTCAATAATTGATATAGTCACAATGTCATAAGGTTTTATTATTCTTTACTATTGATTTAACTATTGGATTAGTCACAATCAAACTTCAAAGAGTAAAAAATGTAAGAAATTTAATGTATTTGATCAAAAAGAAAGCTTTTACTTTTCTGAAACAGGACATTCTAAAACCAACAAGTTTTCTTTCATTTAATTTCTTTAAAGATCCCTCGACAGTTGGAAATCGAAAAAGAGCAGGCTTATGCCGCTGTTCTGGCAAAATTTCCCTCATTGCACCCTACATGGCGTTGCCCGTCTTCATTAGCCCACAAGGTGCAGAAAAGTAGGACGTAAAACTCCATTCATTTCATTTTTTCATTTAATTTCTGTATAATAGTAATAAATAATCATTAATAAAAACTAAATTAGGTGAAATTAGGACCAAATTTAACAAAACCGATTTACCTTACGATTACGATTACGATTTACGATGAGATGAGATTACCTTTTTTGTTCAAATTTCGTTCAATAACGAAACCAATTTTGTTCTGGGATAGTTTCTTGATGCACTGGCACAATGATATTGTTTTGATCGACCAACTTGACGTAATTGTTCGAACTGATATTATTGCAGACAGGTCCCTTTCAAAAAACAAAAACATTATAGAGCAATTTGAGATGACCATGGGGAAAATAACTGGATATCTGGGACTAGTTAATGCAACCATAGTAAATAATTAAAGTAACGTTAATATCTCCTGTTGGACAACCGGGATTCCACGGTCTGACAGCTGAGTGTCATGGTAATCTTACCAGATTTATTGTCTTGAGCAGACGACATTTTCCACCTCATCAAAATTCAACACAAACTCTCACTGAAACTTGTGTTTCATTCCGGTTTCCCCTTGTCAGTGTGGCAGGTCAGTGAGGCTTTCTTGGAAAAAGAGCCGGATGGGGAGATCTCTGAGAGATTCTTTACTGCAATCTTTTCACCACTCGTATCAACTACAAAGCTGCTAGTTACAATGTTCAACTCTCAGACACTAACGAACATTGGCGATATCTTTTATACGCCCACCTGAAATGTGCAGTGTATATTGGCAGAACCTATGTCCGTTCGTTGTTTATCACCAAATAAATCAAAGAAGGAATCAAAAAAAAAAAAATTATTAAACAATCGAAAAATAATGGATATTACCTTGTCTAGCAAGCTACCATATAATTGTCCCATCGGCTATTTTTCTTGATAACATAATGACTAAGATAGGATAAATTTAGATAATTTCGTTTTGTCTTCTCTGCCCATTAAGTAATTCGCCTATAGCTAAATATGGATAGAAACGAGAAATTTAACGACACATTCATAGACCATACACTACAAGGATAACAGCATAGGTTGATCAGCTGAAGGGGCCTGGCTTAAGTTTAAATTTTCATAGTGTATCAGTGACACTGCCAGCATCGATTCGAACAAATCCAAATTTCAGTCAGAGGTCTGTGATTTTGTCTAGAGAAACTATATAACAATTCCTTCAAAATACTCTATATAACAACCCCTTTAGATAAGCTATATAACAACCCCTTTAGATAAGCTATATAACAACCCCTTCAAGTAAGATATATAACAATCCCTTTAGATAAGCTATATAACAACCCCTTCAAATAAGCTATATAACAACCCCTTCAGATAAGCTATATAACAACCCCTTTAGATAAGTTATATTACAGTCCTTTTCAGATAAGCTATATAACAACCCCTTTAAGAGAAGCTATATACCAATCTCTTCAAGAAAAGCTATATTACAATCTATTTAATAGAAGCTACATACCAACCCTTTTAAGGGAAGTTATATTAAATCTTTAAGATATTCTATATAACAATACCTTTAAGATACTTCATATAACAACACCATTAAGATACTCTATATAACAACACCTTTAAGATACGCTATATAACAACACCTTTAAGATACTCTATATAACAACACCTTTAAGATACTCTATATAACAACACCTTTAAGATACTCTATATAACAACACCTTTAAGATACTCTATATAACAACACCTTTAAGATACTCCATATAACAACACCATTAAGATACTCCATATAACAACACCTTTAAGATACTCTATATAACAACACATTTAAGATACTCTATATAACAACACCTTTAAGATACTCTATATAACAACACCTTTAAGATACCCTATATAACAGCACCTTTAATTTACGCTATATAACAACACTTTTAAGATACGCTATATAAAAACACTATTAAGATACTATAATAACAACATACGCTATATAGCAACACCATTAAGATACTCTATATAACAACACCTTTAAGATACTCTATATAATAACACCTTTAAGATACTCTATATAACAACACCTTTAAGATACTCTATATAACAACACCTTTAAGATACTCTATATAACAACACCTTTAAGATACTCTATATAACAACACCATTAAGATACTCTATATAACAACACCATTAAGATACTCTATATAACAACACCTTTAAGATTCTCTATTTAACAACACCTTTAAGATACCCTATATAACAACACGTTTAAGATACCCTATATAACAACACCTTTAAGATACTCTATATAACAACACCATTAAGATACTATAATAACAACCTACGCTATATAGCAACACCTTTAATATACTCTATATAACAACACCTTTAAGATACTCTATATAACAACACCTTTAATATACTCTATATAACAACACCTTTAATATACTCTATATAACAACACCTTTAAGATACTCCATATAACAACACCATTAAGATACTCTATATAACAACACCTTTAAGATACTCTATATAACAACACCTTTAAGATACGCTATATAACAACACCTTTAAGATACTCTATATAACAACACCTTTAAGATACGCTATATAACAACACCTTTAAGATACCCTATATAACAACACCTTTAAAATACTCTATATAACAACACCTTTAAGATACCCTATATAACAACACCATTAAGATACTCTATATAACAACACCTTTAATATACTCTATATAACAACACCTTTAATATACTCTATATAACAACACCATTAAGATACTCTATATAACAACACCTTTAAGATACCCTATATAACAACACCATTAAGATACGCTATATAACAACACCTTTAAGATACTCTATATAACAACACCTTTAAGATACCCTATATAACAACACCCTTAAAATACTGTATATAACAACACCATTAAGATACCCTATATAACAACACCTTTAAGATACTCTACATAACAACACCTTTAAGATACTCTATATAACAGCACCTTTAAGATACAATCCCTTTAAGAGAAGCTGTATAAAGATATAAAGTTACAGTTAGACATTATATAAAGGTAATTAGTCATCCTATAGAAGTAAAATAATCACATAATATATATTTATTACTTTTATTGGTCTTCCTTGTAATAGAGTCGTTATGTTCTATACCATAATAAATTACACTATCGCCATTTTGCTCGATTCCAATTTCCATATGTTATATGTTCAGTAATTGTAACTAAAGAACCACAGATGTCTGACAGAAAATTAGAATTATGTGCACCTATGCTTTCTCAAAACCTTTTTTCTTTCTCTTTGTTAATACTGTATAAATTTTAAATCAGAAATTATTTCAAATGCGCAAGATTAAACCTCTCCTTCCTTCAAAACTTGTTAAATGATTCTATTTTGCTCATTTTCAGTCTCATTTTTACTGCTCCACCATTTGGGATCCTTGTAATAATTATTATTTAGCGGACCTTAATAGACTTTAAAAAGTGGCTTTTAGGCTTCTTCATAATAAAACAGTACTGAAACTTTCTCCTCTGTCATCTTCCCATGAAACCTTATCCTCATCATTGAATATTCTTACAGTTCAAAAGCGTCATTTAGTCAATAAATACATTTTTCTCTTTAAAATAGTAAATGGTAATTGTCCAGTGTATCTTCAAATCTTTCTTCAATATAAAAACACACCATATGCACCCATTAACCAGAGATTTCTTATGAAGAATAGCTTCAAATATAAAGCCCCTTGTTTATAGAACTCTTTACCTCGATCATTAAAGAAAATCAATGTTCTGTCAAAATTTAAAAAGCAACTTCTTTCTTTCTTAGAAAAACAACATGATGAATGATAAATGTATATAACTGTTCAAAGTTCTACTGCTTGTGATTGTAGTTTTGTTGTTTTTAGTTCCTTTTGTATTATGTGTTGTGTTCCTTTGAAGGGCAAAATTGTAAAAAGGCTAGGCCTAATTTTCACCCTAATAAAGATTTTATTATTATTATTATTATTATTAAGAAACTTATTCCTGGTATAGTAATACGATACAATGACTTGGTGAATATTCCTGAAATAATCTGTTCGAAATATCGAGTTGACAATCAAGTCGCAGAGTGGTATCCGTTGATCTGTAGTGATGAAAAAGGTTTTGGCTTGAGAAAGAGTAAAGCTAAAAAGGCCTATATGATTCCATGACATATTTCTATTTTAATTTCAGGAATTACTGAAAGTTTAAAATGTTGGCATTGTGTGGCTGATAATTGTGAAGAAGATCCACAAAATAATTACAAAGCTAGTCAAAAGACATGTCTCGAGGGTCAAATTTGTCAGGTGAGGTATTCCTTAAATTGATTTTAAAGATGTTTTCCAAAATTTTATGTGTATTGAGTACAGTCATTTTCTAAAAGGACAACAATTAAGGTTCAAGTGAATCGGCATAATGTACCATAATGAAGCCAAATTTCTTAGTATTAGTATTCCCAGATTATCCAGCTGGGTAGACTGGAATAATGACCACTGTTTGCTCGTTATTATAAGTTGTATTTATTTTGTAATTACAGAAAGTGTATTTTGAGTTGTATTTTTTTATTTTGTAATTACAGAAAGTGTATTTCGAGTTGTATTTTTTATTTTGTAATTACAGAAAGTGTATTTTGAGTTGTACTTTTTATTTTGTAATTACAGAAAGTGTATTCTTATTTTGTAATTACAGAAAGTGTATTTTGAGTTGTATTTATTCTATTTTGCAATTACAGAAAGTGTGTTATGAGTTGTATTTATTTTGTAATTACAGAAAGTGTATTTTGAGTTGTAGTTATTTTGTTATTACAGAAAATGTATTTTGAGATTTATATATTTTGTAATTACAGAAAGTGTATTTTGAGATGTATTTGTAATTACAGAAAGTGTATTTTGAGATGTATATATTTTGTAATTACAGAAAGTGTATTTTGAGATGTATAGTACAGAAGATGACGTGAAATACAAGTCACTGGTCAGAAGTTGTGCCGAGGATTGTTCCAGCAGTAATGACTTCTATAATTGCTCAAATGATTTATATACCACGCGTGGCTGTATTAAACGATCATGTTGTGACGACGAAGACTTGTGTAACAATTCACATAAAAATTTTACTGCGTTCACAATACAACTAATCATCGTGGTCTGTGGAATATTGATGTTCTTCGGTAATTGAAGACGAATTGCCATCATCTGTTTCTATGTTTTTCGAACTGCGGTCACCAACCATCGTATTACCCATTATAATACTAGAGTGGCGTCAGTAACATTATTATTGTGTCAAGAACATCTAGAACATTTTGTATCCTTGTGTCAGCATCATTAAATGGAATTTAACAACCTATGTTGTCATAAAGCGCAAATAAAAATAGGCAAAGGCAAACAAGCGCAAAAATGGTTAACTAAGCCTAAACTATATTAAACGAAGGGAAAATATGAGCTAGAAAATGTATACAATACGCAAAGAATGGTAAATAAGCGCAAACAAAGTACAAAAAAATGCAAACCATTGGAAGTTATGAGCAAACAACGGTAAACAAAGTGCAAACAACGGTAAACAAAGTGCAAAAAATTGCCAACAAAGTGCAAACGATGTAAACAAAGGGCATACAATGGCAAACAAAGCGTAAAGTACAAAAGAATTAAACAAGACGGAAGATTGAATTAAGCAAGTGTACGTACAGTCATGAACACATAACGTGAGTCTGACGAAATTCTGGGATATTACCATCGTATCTCGAATACGGGTTTTGACATGGTCTTATAACGAATGGCGGGGGGTAGGGGTGGTTTGGACACTATGGGTTATTTCATGCATAGGATAAGCCAATGTCATCAGACAAACAATGAGAGAATGAATGAACTATCCCACTGGAAATAAATGAAGCAAAGTATTCAGACTTATATGAATTACATATCTGATCATACTTTAGTCTCGGAAACAGGATATTTTAAAACCAAGCCAATCAGTAACAGTGTTCACTGCTCACCGTCAATATTTGAGCCTTCAAATCCATGTGTGTCCAGAATTATTTTAAGATAGGCCTACTCTGTGAAAAGACATATATAGAATAGAACGTTAAATTCCTAGTTTGAGATATTTATGAAGGAATTATGCGATTTTAGTACTTTCAACATTTAACCTGCGTTTAGATAATTCAATTCTGCTCTGTTAATAATTTATATTTATGAATGTATATACCGTGGTTCTACCCAGAATTATGTTCAATTTTTAATAATAAAGTTGTTTAAAATTCATTACAAAGGCTTCTAACATCGATTTCTTCCTTTTCCGAGCCGGGCTGACATGATATAAGCGACTAGAAGTTCTGACCAATGCTTCTGTCCTGACAAAATACCCAGATGCAGAAACCTAGGACGTGAAACTTCAATCCATACCATTCACTCTCCCTCCGCCCCTGCCCCACAGAATCCCAACCTGCACATTCTATGTGTGAAGGTGACCTTGATTTCTATGACATTGAGTTTTTGTCCAACTTTTCTGTCCTGTTCTATGTTCTGTGGCTATGTGCAATGAGGGAAATTTTGCCATGACAACGACAGTTGTCTTCTCTTTTTCGATTTCGAACCGAGGAGAAGGGTATCCACGATTGCCAATCTTATTAATTACACGTCCTGAGATGGTTTTACCGAGTCACATTTGAATTACTTCCCATTATCCTATCATTCCACAGACAATGTGTAAAAGATAGAACACTATTCATTCTCTGTTTGACATTTCGAAAGCACTCTTAAATAAAAGCCAAATTACATTATAGGAGCAGTCTGGATTTTCTTTTTTAATAGATTGGAAAGGGTGTTCAATAAAGCAAACTAGCCTATAGAGACTTATTCTGGAGATTTTAACTTAAGATATTGAGCTGTTATAGACCAAACAACAGCATTTGTTAAAACTGCTTTTTTAATTAACCATTTTAATTAGGAACAAATTTTAAAACAGATTCAGGTTGATCATTGCATATAGCCTACATACACCAAAGTAAGTAAGTCGGCCTTTTCACGTAAAATTTACACAGTTTTCAATAATGAAAATTTCTGACGTCCAATTCTGAGGACTTATAGGGCTAATGCCTACATAAATTATGTGTTAAAAATATCTCCGTTTCATATCCATAATTCGACCGATTATTTTTGTACGAGTTCAAGGGCACATAACTCTTCAAAATGGCTGCCCTAAAGAAAATTTCTACACTTTTCCGTAGAATTTCTTTGAAAAATGTCGTTCATGCAGAATCTAAACGATGTTGTTCATATTTTCCAATCGACGACACACTTTTTGGATTGTCTGACGAGCAAAAGCAGTTACGTCAAAGCGTTTTTCAGTTTGTGCAGAAGGAATTAGCACCAAAGGCAGCTGAAATCGACAAAACCAATGATTTCAAAGACATAAGAAAATTTTGGTTAGATTGTGGCAAGATGGGTCTACATGGTATTACAGCACCTAGTCAGTTTGGTGGATCAGAAATGGGTTATTTGGACCATTGTCTCGTCATGGAGGAGATCACCAGAGGCTCAGCCGCCATTGCCTTGAGCTATGGAGCCCATTCCAACTTATGCTTGAATCAAATTGTCAGAAATGGTACAGAAAAACAGAAGGAAAAATATCTTCCCAAGCTTATTTCTGGAGAACATATCGGAGCTCTGGCCATGAGTGAACCTAACAGTGGTTCTGATGTTGTGTCCATGAAACTAAAAGCTGAAGACAAAGGCGATCATTTTGTGCTAAATGGAAACAAATTCTGGATTACTAACGGCCCTGATGCAGACGTCCTTGTGGTTTATGCCAAAACAGATTCCAGTCCTGGCAAAAAACCTCAACATGGCATCAGTGCTTTTATTATAGAGAAGGACTATCCTGGTTTCAAATCAGCTCAGAAACTTGATAAATTAGGCATGAGGGGGTCCAATACATCGGAACTGGTGTTTGAAGATTGTAAGGTTCCAGCAGAAAATATGCTTGGGAAAAGAGATCAAGGCGTTTATGTGTTATTCAGTGGCCTGGACATTGAAAGATGTGTTTTGGCATCTGGTCCTTTAGGTATTATGCAGGCATGTTGTGATATAGCCTTTGATTATGCCCATGTAAGAGAATGTTTTGGAACCAAAATTGGACATTTTCAACTTATCCAAGGAAAAATGGCAGACATGTATACAATTTTGAACGCCAGTCGATCGTATGTTTATAATGTAGCCAGAGCTTTAGATAGAGGAGAAAGACATCCCAATGATTGTGCTGGAGTTATTTTGTACACGGCAGAGGCCGCCACAAAGATGGCGCTTGATGCTATTCAGATCTTGGGAGGAAATGGTTACATTAACGATTATGCCACTGGAAGACTTCTACGAGATGCTAAATTATATGAAATTGGCGCTGGTACCAGTGAAGTTAGACGATTAGTTATTGCTAGAGCTATTAATGCACAATATCGATAAACTTTTAGTGACATTGTATCTGTCATTCGACTGTCTGACCACAATGTTTTAATTTTTACCAACATTTATGTTTGAATTTAAATGGATTGCAAAGAGGTTTTCTAAACAAAGTGTTTGATGATGTCACTAAGCACAAAAATAAGAACTTTGTGATTAGTGACGTCATGAAAGGCGCATTTTAAGTGGAATTGCAGGCCCCATAGGCGCTTGATTGAAAATTGGAATGGTGCAAATTGATGCTATTTGTGTCCACGTAAACATTAAATTTTTTAAAAAACCTCTTTACAGTCCCTTTGATTATCAACTTCAAAAAGCTGCTGTCAGTCATTGATTGTCTTTGAAAGCAATTTCTTGGTGGACGGTGTTTTTATATCAAATGATACAGATTAAAAATTATATTTTTGACAGGTCAAGAGTAAATAATGAAGTTTTTTTTGTTTAGAGTATTAAATCAAATTGGCTGTGATGTATTTTCTTGTTCAAGATATTAGTCTACCTCGTACTGTGTGTTCTTTTATAGTTAAAGGGATTGTAAAAAGGTTTCTGAGTGTTTTATGATATTTTATGTGTTCTCAGCGAGATCATTCCTCACTATTTTGTAACATTTTTTCACTCGAAAAATGTATTCAACAAATGAACCGATATAAAATGATACTCCACATAGTTCAGTGTTATCCTTGGACGGAATGTTCCTTCATGATTTTCATGTCCGTAGTGATTGACATCAATTTCAGTTGTATTACCTCGCCTCTCATTTCCTCCTCAGTCTGACAATTCCTCCCCATTTCCTGTTGAAGTGTGCATTTATAATCCAGTTGGTTAAAATGGGAGGGGGGACCAATATTTTTATATGCCCACATGAAATGGGGGCGTATATTGTCGTCACCCTGTCCGTCCACAATTGCTCGTAAACACTCTACAAGGCACAATTCTTGATTGATTTCAACAAAACTTGGTATGGTTGTTTGTAATTACCCAAGGATGAACCCTATTTAAAAAAAACTCAAAAATAATAAGTATGGGTTATTGCCTTTGTTCTTAAAACACGTTCATGTTTACCTTGTAAACAACCAAGAAGTTACAATTTTGGACGGATTTTGACGAAACTTGGCATGAGTGTTTGTTATCACCCAAGAATAGACCCTATTGAAAATCAGAAAAATCGAAAAATAATTAATATGAGTTATTGCCCTTGTTCTTGAAAACGTGTTCAATTTTTAGCTCGTTAACACTCTAGAGGACACAATTCTTGACGGATTTTGACGAAACTTGGTGTGAGTGTTTGTTGGCACCTAAGTATGAACTCTATTGAAAATCCGAAAATCGAAAAATATGAAGTATGAGTTATTGCCCTTGTTCTTGAAAACACGTTCAAGTTTTAGCTCGTAAACACTCTAGAGGACACAATTCTTGACGGATTTTAACGAAACTTGGTGTGAGTGTTTGTATTCACCCAAGAATGAACCTTATTGAAAATCAGAAAAATCGAAAAATATTTAGTATTAGTTATTGCCCTTGTTCTTGAAAACGCGTTAAATTTTTAGTTCGTAAACACTCTAGAAGGTACAATTCTTGAAGGATTTTGACGAAACTTGTGAGTGTTCTAATCACCCAAGAGATGAACCCTATTGAAAATCAGAAAAATCAACAAATATTTAGTATCATTTATTGCCCATGTTCTTGAGAACGTGTTCAATTTTTAGCTTGTGAACACTTTAGAAGGCACAATTCTTGACGAATTTTGACGAAACTTGGTGAAATTGTTTATTTTCACCCAAGGATGAACCCTATCGAAAATCAAACAAATCGAAATATGTTTCATAGGAGTTACTGACCTCGTTCTTGAAAACGCTTTCAAATTTTAGCTCTTAAACACTCATGAGGCATGATTCTTGTCGGATTTTGACAAAACTTGGTTTTATTGTTCAGTACCGCGCTGAAGATTGAATATTTGCCTTCTAGAGTTTTCACAGGCTAAAAATTGAACATTATTGTTTACAAGAACAAGGGCAATAACTCATACTCAATATTATTCAGTTTCGCCCTGAAGAGTTCAAAAGAAGTGTATGACTAAAGGTTATTTATTTCATACTGGTGTTTGTTACTGAACTGCCAAATATTTTTGTTCAAAATCAAAGCTGCCAGTTGGCGTATATTACCTTGTCTGGCAAGCTATCTTCATATGACTAAATTGAAATGTGCATTAAAAAAACATTCTATTCCTACATGGAAATGCGAACGTATATTGCCATTGCCCCTGTCCGTGTTCTGGGAGACTGCAGTTTTCATCTGATTTTAATGAAATTTGGTGTGTCCATTTATATTGATGAGATCTTGGACGGGTTCGAATTTGACGATATTTCGATGAAAGGTTTTTGAGTTATTGACCTTGTCTTAGGAAAACGCACCAAACTGTCTGTGAACACAACAAAGACTACATAATGAAAGTAATGTAAAATTAATTAATTATTTTTTTGAACAGGTTTTTGAGTTGTGAAAAACTGAGCATAAATAACTGGCAATAAATATATTATACTGTATATATTAATACATACGTATATTCAAAACAGCAAATGCATGAATAGCTTTAGAATGAGAAAATTCATTTTAGTCAGCTGACAGCTGCCAGTGGACGTATGTTACCTTGCATTTTGAAATGAAATGAATATACCACGGGTCCAATTTTAGTTGCTATAAATGTCGTAGGATATCCCATAGCACAGCACATTCAAAAAATAATCTGCTAGATTAATATAAAATAACTAAAGTAGTTCTTAATTTTATAATTTGGGAGGTTGAGATCCGTACTAAAATGTACTGTAGAGCTTTGAAGGTTAATTAATGATGAATTTCGTTCAGGGGTATTTAAATTTTAAGATTTACAGTAAAGGAGTTGAGTTGAAATCAGTGTAAGCTGGAGATCTCTCTACACCTTATATTGTTTGAAGGGATAGGGTTGTATTGTTCATTGTAACAGATCCCAGGGTTCACTTCTACTTGTTGTCATGTCAGCAACAGTCCTTGGATGCAAAAGTGAAAATTTGTTAAATTAAGATTTTTAAAGGTAAGCTTTGCTAATTTCGTATTGTTTTATCTCATGAATAGGAAAATTTCCTCTGACCACATTAACTTTCTTTCAACTGTTCGGGAGGGGTCGTTTAGAGCTTGAACATACAAATGGTAACCATGCCCCCCTCCACCTGTGAAAGGTCTTGTTTTGAAATTAAAATTAAGCTCTCTAAATGCTAAAATGCTCCGTTGGCTTCTGTGGGTCTCTGGCAGCCCAAATTCCCCCGGCCCTTAGAGCCGACCTCGTCCTGGAGATACTCCTTATTTGTTGGGTCTCTGTTAATTGTCTTGATCAAAACAACCTGCTTTTATAATGTCAGGCCCAAAATGGAGCCGTGAATGAAATACTATTTATGAGGTAAAATCGGGTACTTTGATATGGAATATTAAAAGCAGTAATAGGGAAGGGGGGGGGGGGGGGTGGATACTAGCTAGTACTGATTATTTTTTTGTTTGATCCCTCAATGATTTTTATACTTTTTTTCAAAATATTTTTCCAAATTATGTATGAAATCAATTTTATTTTTCTTGCCATTGTCAGTCTGTTCAGAGTGTTGTAGTATTATAAGGAGTTTGAAGGATCCTAAATTAATTACTGATTTGATATCTCGGTGAGTTCACACAGGGAGCTCTACCACGTAACTGGTTGAGTCCATGGGCCTCCATCCCCAGAACAAAAATACAAAAATACAAAATTACAAAAAATAATGTTGTAAAGTATACAGTTACAAAATCTTTAAATCTTCCATAATCAGGCATTAAATTAACTTACAGAGGGGTCTTAGATACACGAGAGATGTTTAAAATAAATTCCAGGGGAAGAGCGCCTACCTCTTTGTTCAAACGCCCGTATCTTGCTGTTATCTTGCTGCCATATCTTGCAGACTTCCTACGCACATACAAAGCAATCAGACTTCCTATGCACATACAATACAATCAGACTTCCTACGCACATACATTACAATCAGACATTATCAGACATAAAGGAATGAATGTGAAATTATATTTGTAAACCTATTTATAATATTCATATATGAAGCCATATAATCAGATATAATTAACATACCTCTTGATCTCTCCGTTAATTGAATGATCTCTCACACGTTTCAATAATTGTGTTTTCATTGTTAATTAATTGGTTTGTTAAATTGTTTAATTACGCTTAAATTTGCCGCTGATCTCCGGTCCCTCACTAACGAAACCATGTTGAAAGAAAGTTCAGTATGGAATCGAAACCAAAACTAATTTATAATAAGTAAAACATAACAATGTTATTAAGATATCATGTTTATTGCAATAATATATTGACTCTGAGTTAAGTCACTGTATCTCTGAGTTTGGACTCGATAACTGACTGATCTTGTTGAGACACTGGACTACAGTGGCTGAGCCAAAGAGGAGGGGGAGGGGGGGGGGGAGAATCGCCCCCTCGCAGCCCCTAAAGCAAGTGTTTCTCATAAGGTTAGAGATTCGGGTAAACTCAGATATCTCAACCACCTCGGACGTAAACCTGCCTCCGCCACTGCTGGACCACATACTATAACATCATTATTTCTTATAAGTTTTTGGAGGGGGACAGGTTCTCACAATTGGTCCATTTAGCAATGAGATGACTCAAATCTTTTCATATATCATGTGGTCTTTGTTCTTTTTTTTTACAATTGATTGATGAAATAAGAAAAAGTGCCAGAATACCTTTTATTATCTATCCAATTTTCCCTTTGTTGGTGGCCCAGTGGGTTGCTCGCTAACCTGAAGGTCCAGGAATCGTACCTGTCAAAGGTTGATAATAACTTCATATGTTTCAACTCGTGGACCCCTGTCAGTGATGCAGGTCACAGGGACTGAATGGAAAAAGGCGTCAAGGCATTGGGAAAGAACAATAAACCGAGGACCCATGTGTTACAGATTGTATAATTTAGAAATTACACAATGCAGAAACGTAGGATGTAAAATACCATTCTATTCTCTATTCATTGTTTGTTTTGTTCGTTCCCTTAACCTGTGTATTCATCTCTGTTAAATTTTTCATTCTCTTATATTACAGCTAAGCATCATGAAGTATGGTAATTCATCTACAGATCTAACCTATATGGTTTTCATCTCAGGTAGTTGAACATTTAGATTTCTCTACAAGTTATTTCCCATAATTGCTATAAATGATTATGACAATAATCATGTTATAATATATGATAGGAATAAAACTGAAGGAATGATAATGTTATAATATATGATAGGAATAAAACTGAAGGAATGATAATGTTATATTGTATAATAGAAATAAAACTGAAGGATTGATAATGTTATAATATATGATAGGGATACAACTGAAGGATTGATAATGGTATAATATATGATAGGAATAAAACTGAAGGAATGATAATATTATAATATATGATAAGAATAAAACTGAAGGAATAATAATGTTATAATATATGATAGGGATACAACTGAAGGAATAATAATGTTATAATATATGATTGGAATAAAACTGAAGGAATGATAATGGTATAATATATGATACGAATAAAACTGAAGGAATAATAATGTTATAATATATGATTGGAATAAAACTGAACGAATGATAATGATA